GATTCTACAATCAATAGATCAGATCTAAGTGCTGCAGTCCTGCCAACCCAAGTTCTGAATGGTGGCGGACAATTAAACAACTCTCTCGAGGAGAAGGTTCCACAAATGTTCCATCTTGAATTACGGGAAAGCTCCGCACATCAATGCAAAACATAAGACTAAAGATTAAGTATCTGCAACAAACTTTCAGTCAACAGTACCAACTGGTTGATCCATCTCAGTCTTCTCCTGAGGTCTCTGTCATCGCAATGGCAGTTCTCCATCACTTTGATTTTCTCCATTTGAAATCAAGAAATGGCTGACGCCACCGGACACTGCAAAGACTACTAGCTCTGATAAAATTCTGCAAGCTTGTAGCACCCCGAACCAAGCTGTTCCAGTACAACTACAGCACTGGCATCTACTCAACAATGTGGAAAAGTGTCCAGCTATGTTCTGTACACATGAAGCATGGCAAAATCAACTCAGTTAATTGTCACAGTATCAGTCTACTGTCAATCATCGGAAGAGTGATGCCAAGAATTGGTAACACCAAACTTCTCAGCATCACATGTAAATATCTCAATGTTTCTGGGGCTTAATCCCTGGGAAACATTTATTCCCGTCTGTGAAGAGAAAGGCTCCACCCAGTTGGACACATCCATTTCGGTCTCAGCTTTCAATTTCAAATTACATAACAACAGCAACTTTCACAGCCTAAGGATATCTGAAACAATCTGATTTTAAGTGTAGAATTTTGAAATGTCGTACTGGCAGATTATGGGACTGTGAAAGCCAAATTAGGCACAGCAAGATGCCACCAGTGGCAACGTGATGATGAATGCAGCCATCTGCTTTTCAGTGATGTTGATCCAGGACTAACTTGTGTCCCAGACATCAGGAAAACTCCATCATGATCTTTCATGGAATAGTGCCTGTGTGTTCATTCATACTCAACCGACAGACTAGACTGGGCTCAGATTCATGTCTCAATCTACCACTGCTGGCTGTGCCTGTCCTCTTAACAAGACTGTTGTATTGTTCAATTGTTCATTCGGGAATAATTAACCCTACATGTCAGTTCATTTAAAATAGCAAAAACACATTATAGTTTATGATGCAGACAGTACAACAGTCCTGAAGAAGGGTAATACCTGAAACGTTGACTGCTCCTTTCCTCCAGATGCTGCCTGGCTGGCTGTGTTCCTCCAGCCTCCTGTTTGTCTACCTTAGATTCCAGCATCCGCAGTTCTTTTCCGTCTCTAATACAGCTAACAAACTTATTTCTATGAGCAACTTGCAGACCCACAGCAGACTAACTCCAGGTGGAGATACAACACACACAACACATCAAGTCAAGGCAAAACAGACAAAGAAAGACCAACAGAGAAAGGAAGAGGGACAGACAGAGTTCAGAGAGAAAGATACAAACAGAGTGAGAGAGATAGAAATCAAGAAATAAAAATGAGACAGCAAAAAAAAAGAGAGGAGCAGTTAAAGAGAGAAAGCAAAAAATAGGGAAAGAGGTAAGCATAGATTCAGAATGAGAGATAGTTGAGAGACAAACAGTAAGGGAGAGAGAGAGAAAGAGGGGTGGGTATGGGGTAAATGAATGTGTTAAATCCATTGATTCATACTCCCCCCGGTGGATGCAGCGGGGAGTTGGTTTTTAATTCATTGAAAGGGCCAGCATTTATTGCTGATCTGCAACTACACCTGACAAGGTAGTGGTGAGTTGCTCCCTCACTCCTCTGCAGTCCATTTGGTGTAGAGAGATGCACAGTGATGTTAGGAAGAGTTCCATGGCCTTTGACCCAGCAACACTTAAGGAATGACGATACATTTCCAAGTCACGATGGTGAGTGGACTGGATGGGAATTTGTAGTTGGTGGTCTCCTCCTTTATCTGCTGTCAATATCCTTCTAGATGGTAGTGATCATGGGTTTGAAAGGTGCTGAGCCTTGGCGAGTTGCTGTGGACCATCATACATATGATACACACTGCTGCCACTTTACGTGAAAAGCAGGACAGGATTCGGCAGTCACCTTGGTTTCTGAGAGGAAACTGTGGTTGATACATCAGTTTGAGGTGTCTGAAGGGTAATTAGCAGTGTCAACATTGGCTGAACCAGAGGACATGAGATATTTGGATTTTGACATTATTCAAAGGTCTTGATGGACTCTGGGGATTGGAGTATACATTAACATGGATTGAGGACTGGCTAACAGACAGAAAACTGAGAGAAGGAACAAAGGGGATATTTCCAGGCTTGACAGGCTGTGATGAATTGGTTATTGCAAGAATCTATACTGGGGCCTCAGCCACTTACAAAAAGATCATAATGATATGAATGACACAGGTGAGGGGAGCTGTACAATTGGGGATAGCAAGAATGGTGTAGTAGTACTGTCATGGGACGAGTAATCCAGAGTCCCAGGCTGCTTGTCTGATAGCATGGGTTTAAATCCCACCACAGTAGCTGATTGAATTTAAATTCAAACAAACAATCTGGAATTGAAAGCTTATCTCAGTGATGACGACCATCAAATAATGGTTGATTACTGTAAACACCCATCAGGTTCACTAATATCTCTTAAGGAAGGAAAGCTATCGCCCTTCCTTACCTGACTCCAGACCCACAGCAATATAGAGGGGAGGCAATGGCCTAATGGTATTATCACTGGACTGTTAACGCAGAGACCCAGGTAATGTTCTGGGGACTTGGGTTTAAATCCCGCCACGGCGGATGGTGGAATTTGAATTCAACAAAAATTCGGAATTATGTTGACCATGGATCCATTGCTGATTGTCGGAAACACCCATCTGGTTCACTGATGTCCATTCGGGAAGGAAACTGCCATCCTTACCTGGTCTGGCCTACATGTGACTCCAGACCCACAGCAATATGGTTGACTCATAACTGCAATCTGGGCAATTAGGGATGAGGAATAAATGCTGGCCTAATCCGTGGCGGCCTCATCCTGTGAATGAATAAACGAAAAAAAAGTCATTTACTCTTCATTGCTCCCTGGCATGGCCAAATAAGCTACTCAGCTCTCCTGAACTATTACTTGAATGGAAATCAGCCACCAACAAGTTCTCAAAGGGCAATTAGGGACGAGTAATGCCAGCAACACCCACATCCCTTAGAAGAATATAAAAAGCAAATTGCAGTGAGGCTTTCTCACTATTGAGCTCTCTGTAGTGAAGGACAACGGGGGGGTGGGGGGTGGGGGGCGGTGGTCAAAGGGGTCACACTCTAACCCAGTGTGGTGGCATACATTAACACAGTAGAAAGTGATGATCCTGTGCAGGTAGTTAGGATTAGACTTGGCCATTAACGTCTCACATTCTAGAAAATTTTTAGCAAGATTCAAAGCTAGTTTAAACTTCACTACAATGCTCCCATCATGCTCAGAATATCCATAGGCACATTTCTCTAAAATAGACACGGATTCCTCTGAAATACAATGAATTCAGATCCTGGTAAAGAGTTCCAACTTGTTATGATACCTGCCGACGGGACTGTTGGATAGGTGAGACCCTAGAGTGAAACTCTGGGAGCAGAAACAATAGGATTCTGAACTCAATATTGGTGTATGCTGAACTGAATTATTGCTGATGACAAATTCAACTGAACTGAAAACAAAACCTAGCCTCTACATGTTTATCCAACTTGTTGTAAATCCCACACAATAAACAACTTATTCCATTAACGCTCAAAGGGCTTACAGTCATCTGTAATTTGATACATATTGGATGAAGTCATTATTCCAGGAGGATTTTCAAACCATCTTTTCCTACTACTGGCGTAATTTCCTCACAAAAGTCACACATATGCCACTATTTTGAAACTTAAACTCCAAAAATATTATTATATGTGAATTATAAATTTTTCATCACACCAAAACCTTGAAAATGATTGGGATCAGAATACAAACCTTGGCCAAATTCTGAGTGATTCTAGATTGTCGATGAATTGTATCGACTAAGGGGAGGGGAAGAAAGATGATAGGGAAGGAAAGTTTCACCAATCCAGGCTGGCCGGACTTAACCCAGAAGCCTTACCTCCAAGGCTCGTCCCGCACTCTCTCATTAGCACAGTCTCTCATCCAGTGAAAACCCACCCCACTGTTACTTGGCTGAATAGAACTGGTGCCTTGCTGTAAGAAGTGACATGGCGTTGGGTTTTTCCATCTTGTACTCACCAGGACGGATGCAAGAAGACCAAGTTTCAAGAGGAACAACAATTTATACTGTATGAGAAATGGGGCCTGGTCGGTTAGCAACTGAACTCTGATTGGTTGAAATATTGCCATGGAGAACAGTTACCGCGTCCCTAACACTTTTGTTTTAGAAAAGGGAATGAGTCATGTCCCACCCCTGACAGACCCCTACCCCTCACAGAGCCATCCGAACTAACAGCACCCATTGCCCACAGAGCCTACCCCTCATCTCAGCCCCTCACAGCACTCTCCCTTTCAGCCCTGTTCCCCTCACAGATACCTCACCCTCATCCCAATCTGCAATTTCTCTCGTCCTCAGTCCCCAGCCCCTTCACATCCATCACCACCCCACCCCCAGCCGTTCGCATCCCCTACCTCCTCCTACTCATACCACAACCACTTACATCCCCTCCCCCTCTCCCTCCCTTCCTCACCCACTATGCTCCTCATCAGTCCCTACGCCTCACATCCCTCAAATCCAACCTCCATCCCTCTTCTCCACCTATCCTCCTCGACATCTCCGTCCATCACAATACCCTCCCCAACCTCCTCACCACCCCCCCAGGGTCACTCTCTCTCCCTGGATCACGCCCCCTACTCCCTCCCGCTCTATCTTTCTCTCTCTCTTCCCCCCACCTGAGTCACACCCCCTTCCCGGGGTCTCTCTCTATCTCTGATTCCGGACAAATCATGGTTGAACTTCTCCCGCCGAAAATAACTGCCACCCGAGGGGGCCAGGATCGGAAGTATTGGGAAGGGTCAGGGTCTGGGGTCGGGGTCAGGTTCACGGGGCGGCTAGCGGCCGGGGGAAATGGTCAGGACCGTGGGGGCGGGGTCAAGATCTGGGGGCAGGGTCAGGATCGGTAAGGGGGCGGGGTAAGAGACGACGGTTGGCTTTCCTCGCACGCGGAGCGGCTGCTCTCGCGGGAGATTTAAACTTTCCTGCCCTTTCTGGTTATCAACCGTCCGGAATGGCCCTTTGGCGCCAATGGCGACGAAGTTTTCAACCCAATCCTAATAGACGTGGAATAAGCTAAAATGTCCCTCCATCGCCCCTCCTTCATCAGTTATCGTCATGTTGAAGGCTGGAGGTGTTGGCATTGACCGGTGGGCAAGAAATGTCCAGTTGTGATGCGCATGGTCTAGGGTCCTGAGGTCAGTCATGCTCAGTGACCAATGGGAATGGCAGGAGAGCTTGGGGTTGGCAGGGGTCAATGGACAGTTGAAGGTGCAAATGTCAGAAGACCACGATTCCAGGAATGTGGCCAACTAGAGTTTGCAACATGTTACCCGCTGGATGACATGGTGAGGCCAGTAGACTTTTATGCTTAAGGCACAACAATCATTTAAGGGAGACTAGAAATATTTCAGGACTGGAAGCTGAACAGATTCAGCGTAAGTTTCAATAAAGATGGAGAAACTAATAGGACTGAAGCTGACAAACTGTTCTGGATCAATGGTTTCCAGCTCGGACTGCCATGAGGAGCCGATGGGAAAATTGTCGATGCATCAATTACGATCTTCAAAAATGTTCTTCATTCAGGATTTGCCACATTGGATGAGAAAAATGATTCACGCCACTGCAATGTTTAAAAGAATGGTCTGGGTCATGGTCTGGTCACCCATGGCCATAATTGGAATGTCTAATCTTCTTCTTTGGCTTTCATCAAAACTCCCTCCGTCCATGCCTGAACCTATGCTCTTTACCTCAGAGCATGGAGAGAGTCACGTTGAAATAATTCACCTGGTGCTCACTAATGGCATCTCTGGGCACATGTCAAGAATTAATTTTTGGGGACTGAGTGACTGAGAACTTTGGAGAAATCAGAGATGACCAGAGAGAACCAGCATGAACTTGTAAAAGGTAAATCTTTGCCGATTAATATCATTCAATATTTTGAGCAGGAATTTTGAGATGCGGAGGAATTTAGGTGTTTTGATAGATGAGACACAAATATTAACGTGCAGGTGCAGCGAGTAATTCAGGAGGTTAATGGGATGCTGTACAGTATTACGACAGGAATTAAACGTAAAATCAAAGACATTATGTTTTAGTTATAAAGGGCATTGGTGAGACCACATCTCAAATACTGTGTGCAGTTCAGGTCTCCTTATTTGCGAAAGAATGTCAATACATTGGAGGCAGCTTGGAGGAAGTTCACAAAGCTGGATTGAGAGGGTTGTCTTATGAGGGAAAGTTGGACAGGCTGGGCCTATTTTCACTGGGGTTTAGAAGAGTGAGGAGTGACCTGATTGACTCTGAACCCTTTGTCAAGGTGAACGGTAAAATGTTTCTCTTGTGGGTGGATCCAGAACTAGGGGCCCCTGTGTTAAAATTAGGGATTGCCCTTTCAGGACAGAGATGAGGGGATTTGGTTTTCTCTCAGAGAGTTCTGTGACTTTCGGACTGTCTGCGTCAGGAGGAAGTGGAAGTGGGGCTATTGAATATTTTTAATTCGGTTGTTTATATCACTTGAATAGGCAGAGGAATCAAAAATTGTTGTGGATAGATGGAAAATGTGGAATTTGAGACACTAACAGATCAGACATGACATTATTTAATGGTAGAGCGGGATTGAGGGGCGTAATGGCCCACTTCTGCTCCCAATTTCTGTATTCATATGCTCTTAAGTATATCAGTGGCAATATCAATGTAGTCAGGTCACGCTGTAATGACACCCTCTCACCAGTGTATGATCTGTCATTCACGTCTCATGGTTTGTCAGTCTGTGCTGCATGGAGGCTCCCAATTTCACAACCAATACCACCTCCCTGTTTCTAAATTACTGTTCGTTTGACTGCATAAACAAGGCTGATAATGCAAAATGGGATCTATAATTTGGAAATGTGGAAAGACTGTTGGAGTGGTGAGGACATCATGCTGATATGGTCTAATTCTGCTCAGACCCTGCTTCCCCTGTTTACAGAATGAAAATGAACTCAACTACAGCAGCAGAAATGCATATTTACAAAGCACCCACATACGATTAAACATCAGAATGGGTATTATCCATCAAAATGAATCCTGTTGACACTTCAGTGCAGTATTGAGGGAATGGTGCAATGTTGGAGTGTCAGTGCTGGGGGAGGACTGCACTATCGGATGGTCAGTGCTGAGGGAGTGCCGCACTGTGGGAGGGTCAACGCTGAGGGAGTGCCGCACTGTCAGGGGGTCAATGCTGAGGGAGTGCCGCACTGTTGGAGGGTCAGTACTGAGGAGGTGCTTCACTGTCAGAGGGCCTGTACTGAAGGCATGCCACACTAGCAGAGTCAGTAATAAGGGAGTGGTGCACTATCGGAGGGTTAATGCTGAGGGATTGTTGCACTGTCAGAAGGGGAGTACTGAGGAAGTGTTGCACTGTTATTGAGTCAGTACTGGGTGAATACTGCCCTCGGGTAGGATTAATACAGAGGGTGTCCTGCACTGCCGGAGGGTCATCACTAAGCATGTGCACCACTGTTGGAGAGTCTGTACTGAGGAAGGGCTACTGTCAGATGTTCAGTAGTGAGTTAACACTACACTGTCAAAGGGTCACTCCTGAGGGTGCCCTGCACTGTCAGAGTGTCATTGCTGAGGGAATGGTGTGCTGGATAGTGGGCCAGTACTGCTGTGGACTGAACTGTACATACTCAATTTATGCATTATACCTTCAAAACTTTTAGATCTGTGTTAGAGCTCATATTTTCAATGAGAGTCCAAGTCACAGGGTGAGTTTAGGTGACGTTTATTGAGATTTACCCATCAGTTACAGCACAAAAAAAGGCACCCAAAAAGCTTCAGAATGTCTTAACTCACACCCCAACCCCACCTATGAGTACTATTGGTCAGCGGAACCGAGTTGTCCATCTGTAATTGACTCTCCAGAACAGCATCTTATACAATTTAAGCTTGCTTCAGCAAAACGACAAAGAGATGGACAGGCTCGTGGTCCACTCCCGGTCCTTCATGCCAGCTCTCTGACACCTCTTCTTACAGCCCCCTTGAACATGACCCCACCCCCAACCACCAAAACATCATCTCCCAGACCATCCACAACCTCATCACCTCAGGTGACCTCCCACCCACAGCCTCCAACCTCATTGTTCCCCAACCCCGCACCGCCCATTTCTATCTCCTTCCACAAACCACAATCCACAAACACGACTACCCTGGTCGACCCATTGTCTCCGCTTGCTCCTGCCCCACCGAAGTTATCTCCACTTATCTCGACTCCATTTTCTCCCCCTTGGTCCAGGAACTCCCCACCTACATCCGTGACACCACCCACACCCTCCACCTCCTCCAAAACTTCCGATTCCCTTGTCCCCAACACCTCATCTTCACCATGGACGTCCAGTCCCGATATACTTGCATTCCCCATGCAGATGGCCTAAAGGCCCTCCGCTTCTTCCTGTCCAGCAGGCCCGACCAGTCCCCCTCCACTGACACCCTTGTCTGTTTAGCTGAACTCGTCCACCCTTAACAACTTCTCCTTCAATTCCTCCCACTTCCTGCAGACAAAGGGGGTGGCCATGGGTACCCGCATGGGCCCAAGCTATGCCTGCCTCTTTGTAGGATACGTGGAACAATCTCTCTTCCGTAGCTACACTGGCGCTATCCCACCTCTTCCTCAGTTAAATCGATGACTGTATTGGCGCCGCCTCGTGCTCCCACGAGGAGCTTGAACAGTTCATCCACTTTACTAACACCTTCCACCCCAACCTTAAGTTCACCTGGACCATCTCCTTCCTGGACCTCTCTGTTCCCATCTCCGGCAACCACCTGGAAACCGATATCTATTTCAAGCCTACCAACTCCCACAGCTACCTAGAATACACCTCCTCCCACCCACCTTCCTGCAAAAATGCCATCCCCTATTTCCAACTCCTTCGCCTCCGCCGCATCTGCTCCTGAGATGAAGCATTCCACTCCCAGACATCCCAGATGTCCTCGTTTTTCAAGGACCGCAGCTTGCCCTCCACAGTGGTTGAAAATGCCCTCGACCGCATCTCTCGTGTTTCCCGCAACTCATCCCTCACGCCCCCTCCCCGCTATAACAACAAAAACAGAATCCCCCCTCGCCCTCACATACCACCCCACCAACCTCCGGATCCAACGCATCATCCTCCGCCACTTCCGCCACCTGCAATCTGCCCCCACTACCAAGGACATTTTTCCCTCCCCACCCTTATCTGCCTTTCGGAGGGATCGCTCTCTCCGTGACTCCCTTGTCCTCTCCACACTCCCCACTAGCCCCACCACCCCTGGCACTTTTCCCTGCAACCACAGGAAGTGCTACACCTGCCCCTACACCTCCCCCCTCACCCCCATCCCAGGCCCCAAAAAAACCTTCCACATTAAGCAGATGTTCACCTGCACATCTGCTGGTGTCGTGTACTGTATCTGCTGTTCCCGATGTGGCCTCCTCTACATCGGGGAAACCAAGCTGAGGCTTGGAGACCACTTTGTGGAACACCTACACTCGGTTCGCAACAAACGACTGAACCTCCCAGTGGCAAACCACTTCAACTCCCTCTCCCACTCCTTGGACGACATGTCCATCCTGGGCCTCCTCCAGTGCCACAACGATGCCACCCAAAGGTTGCAGGAACAGCACCTCATATATTCATCCTTCCTCCCGCCTATCCGCCTCTCCCACCTCTACCCCCACCCCACCTCCAACCTACCAGCCTCATCCCCGTCTCCTTGACCTGTCCGTCTTCCCTTGACTGACCTACCCCCATCCTAACTCCCCACCTACGCTCACCTCTACTGGCACCATCTCTGCCTCCTTGACCTGTCCGTCTCCTCTCCACCTATCTGCTCCTTTATCCATCTTCCATCTGCCTCCCCCACCTCTCTATTTATTTCAGAATCCCCTTCCCCTCCCCCATTTCTGAAGAAGGGTCTAGACCCGAAACGTCAGCCTTCCTGCTCCTCTGATGCTGCTTGGCCTGCTGTGTTCATCCAGCTCTCCACCTTGTTATCTCAGATTCTCCAGCATCAGCAGTTCCTACTATCTCCTTCATGATGTATTCCAGACTCTTATCTCCTTTCTTGAGGCTTTTCACAATGGATACTGTATTCAAGTGTTAACTGCCAATTTATTGGATCTTTGCCTATTACTTCAGGACCTTTTAAATTTCTCATTACAGGAAATACAAAAGAATATTGATTTTTGATCAGTTCCAACAAAGTTACGTGGTTACACCTAATATTAGAATTCTTAAGCTAACAAGTTGTGTCTTAATATGTTCATTTAATCCACACATCAATGTCTGTTAATCCTCTGTAACCATTCCTCCCTGCAATGACATGGAGGTGCCGGTGTTGGACTGCGGTGGACAAGGTTGAAAATTACACGACACCAAGTTATCGTCCAACAGGTTTATTTGAAAACGCAAGCTTACCTAGCTCAGCTCCTTCCTCAGGAGTAGTGTGAGAGAGGATATAAGATACAGAGTTTATAAACAGAAAGGTAACAATCCTAAAACTGACCGCCTCTTGTTGAATCTTTAATCAGTTAAGAAGGAGACTACTGATTAAAACGCAAAATCCAGATTCCTTTCAAGTCATCGTCTCAAGATAATTAAAGGTTTTATCAATGTATACAAGAGGTGACATCTCTGGTCAGACAATGCATTTTAGGTATGAGGTCTTGCTTAGAATCTGTCTATGTTTTAAACTGGGGTCATGTTTTTGAGCAAAACAGAATGTATCTGCATCGACACAAACATCTTGAATGAAATAATTTGTCTGTGTGTGTGTGTGTGTGTGAGAGAGAGAGAGAGAAAGAGAAAGCGAGAGCGAGCGCATGTGTGTTTGAGAGAGTGAGGATGTGAGAGAGTGTGTGTTTAAGAAGTGTGAATGTGTGTGTGAGAGAGAGAGTATTTGTGAGAGAGAGGGTCTGTGTAAGTGTGCGTGCGTCTGTGAGAGTATCTGTGGGAGTCCTGTGCTGGGGCACCTGTACTGTGACATGACCTTATGATCATGATTGAGGTCGTCCTCATGGGTACTGAACTTGGCCCTCAGCCTCTGCTCAGCGATTTTTGCTTTGTTATGTATCTCAAAGTCCACCTTGGAGGATGCTTACTTGCCCAAAGATTGGAGACTGAATGTCCTTGACCCCGATTCTAAGCAAGACGTCATACCTAAAATGCATTGTCTGACCAGAGATGTCACCTCTTGTGTACATTTTTAAAAAAAAACTTTAATTATCTCAGGACAATGACTTGAAAGGAATCTGGTTTCTGCATCTTAATCAGTAGTCTCCTTCTTAACTGATAAAAAGGTTTAACAAGTGATGGCCAGTTTTAGGGTTATTATCTTTTTCCTTATAAATCTGTGTCTTAAACCCTCTCTCCCACACTATGCCTGAGGAAGGAGCTGAGATTAGAAAGCTTGCGTTTTCAAATAAACCTGTTGGACTATAACCTGGTGTCGTGTGATTTTTGTCCTTCTAATGATAAAGGGGGTTGCTTTCACTATCTGAAACTGATTTGAATCTTTTCCTTAAATGCTTTTCTATGACAAATTCGGACCTGTAATTATTGGTTAAACAACTAATTAGTGTGAGATGTCCTTATCTTTATTTTATGTGTCAGCTGCAACCTTGTGCTGCTATTGTTATCAAATGTAAAATGTTATTATCTATGTCTTTACAGAGCCACTGTTGTTTTATTATATTAATCAAAAGTTAAATGTTATTAATCAAATGTTAAATGTTATTATCTGTGTCTTAGGCACATTCAGCAACCTTTAAATGTTACTGTCAGCCTTGTTCTACTGCATTAGCCTTGGGCAGCCATTGGCCGTTTTGTCTGCTCAGTTATGGGCATCCCTAACAATCTGACTATCTTTTTATTGATAGTCCATAATGCGAACAATCTTGTGTTAATTTATTCATTTCTATTTTAGCTGAAATTGTCATCACCATATTAGTAAGGATATGCTGGTGTCATGCTTTCTGTTTTGGTTATGTTTGTGGTCCTGCACTGTCCTGGACTCAATAGTTCTGCAAAAACTGGTATGCGTATTGAAGGTGCATGTTGAGGTTTACCCACAATGTGGCAAACATGGCGTGATGTAAAAAACTGCATCATATCCTTGTGATGACACTGCCAGTAAAAACATCTGTTTATCAATGTTAGAGGTTTCCACATTTCTGTATCTCCTGTCAGAGGAATCTGATGTGCTACCCACAATAAGTCCTCATGGAAAGTGCCACTTGAGGCACAACCATCCATTCTTCTTCTGGGGGGATATGAAGGGGTGATAGGAAAGAAATTATGTAGAGATGAGAGTTTTGGTTTGGGGCGGTAGGGGGTGGGGGAGGGGGAGGAATTTTAAAGAACCTTTGACCCAGTGGATGTGTAGAAGGAAGGGAACAGGCGCAGGATTGAGTACGTCCAGTCCTGGCAGAAGTTTAATCAAGATCGAAAGGCATTTACAATCACAACAGAGAGAAGAATGCCCCTCACTGTTGCAGACCACATTGAAGAAGGATATATAAAATTAAACCCAGACAGAAACATCTCGGACAGATCACTGAACACTGTGGGAGGAGATCACCTCCAAGAAACACCAGCACATGATCTTGAGAGATTTCCAACTATTTCTTAGGGGCGTATGACAATGCTGTGGCTTTCAAGGGGTTATTTGGTCCTGGTTTTATTTTTTGAAAAGAGGATATAAGGCAGAGAGATAGCGTTGTCTTGAAGAAAGCAAACAACTTGTGATGCTTTGAGCGTTTTTTTAAATTGAAACAAGGGAAGGAGCCTGGGTGTGGTCAGCTCTCAGACCACACTTTCTAGTTTTTCTTTGTTTTTAGCTTTAGCTTTAAGCAAAACCTATTGGGGTCTGTTAAGAATTGGAAGCTTCAGTGAATGTCTCCTGGCTGCTACACTCTCCCAATCTTCTCGATGTTTTTCCTCATGGTTTGGAGAACTGCATGTAAGAATATGTGTCTGAATTAGCCAATTTGCCAAGGGGTGTGTTTATGGGATGTTACTATATTGGAACAGTTAATTTTTAATAGTTACTGTACATATTATTCGGTTAGGTTTTCCTGTAGAGTTAAGTTATTCTAAATTTCTTTCTTTTGTATATTGTTTTGTATTTTTACAGTATTAAAATAAATTGTGTTTTGCTTAACGTTGAGTAGTTTGACCAGTTGCATTGCATTTGGAGCACAGCATTGCACATCTATCTTTAAAATAAGAAAAAGTTAGGGTCTAGGCTACCTTCTTAAAATATTTTGAGGGGGGCCTTCTGATCTGGTGTGATTCCTGTAGATTTTCAGAAGCTAAATTAGTATTTAGAAAGATTCTGTTTCTCTGTGTTGACCCCACACTGAACGTGTCTCATTCATGCTCAGTTTAAACATTCTCATAAACAGCCTCCTCATCAAAATTGCAGTTTGTGTAGATATCGTCTTCTTGATGTGCATTGACACATTGATTCAATTTCATTTCCCCAACTTTCCTCTGGAATAGAAACAGAAATGAGCGGAGTAACAATCAGAGTGATCAGTATTCAGTGTAATAGATCCCAATAGAAATTATACTGACAATAGATCCATTAATTATCAATACTAAACAGAGTGGAGTTTGATCATCGATACTGAACGGTATGTGGTTTGATAATACTGAATAGTGTGTGGTTTGATTATTGATACTAAATGGTGTGGGGTTTGATTATCTGCTGTTTAGGGGAGAGGGTTCCGAGTTCCCACTGCCTTTGTGTGAAATGACTTCTGACTTCACCCTCATGCAGCAGCCTCTATTTTTAATGCTCTGTCCCTTGTTCTGGACTCTTTCCCCTACTGCCCTCAATTCTCACAACTAGAGGATGTTGTTCCTCCTGTGTCATGGAAGTGAGCAGTGATCATAATGTTACTTACCGAGGATCTGTCAGACTGCTCGCCTGGCGATTTATTGCCAAAATTGCCTCCTTGGTCTGAATGGCCACTTTTTGTGCTTCTCCATCTGTGTGTTTAATTAGAAAGGGCTGATGTTTGACTTAGAATCAGAACAGGAACTTGTGAACAATTGAGAAATCATTATTGTTGAAATGATGGATCTTCGTCTGCCAGTGTTAACCCTTTGTACCTTGACACAGTGATAATGTCCCAAGCGTGAAATGGAATAGTCATCAATCGACTGTCCATTCACTGCCTACTTCAGATGATGAGGGGGTTCTTCTAAAGGAACTGAAGTTGCTCGGAACTCTTTGAAAATATCAGGCACAGGAGAATGTCAAGGAGCAGAAGAGAAGCTGAGAGAGAGAGAACAGTAGTAAACAAAGTAGAGGGTAAATGAGACAGTGCAAGAGGCAGAGGACGAGTGAAACAAGAGTGTGGGTCTTTTCCCCCAGTCCAGCAACTCCCCACCTACGTTCGGGACACTACCGAGGCCCTCTATCTCCTCTAAGGCTTTCAATTCTCTAGCCCCCAACACCTCATCTTCACCATGGACATCCAATCTCTGTACACTTGTATATCCAATGCAGATGGCCTAAAAGCCCTCCACTTCTTCTCCCACAGGCCCAACCAGTCCCCCTCCACCAACACCCTCATCTGCCTAATGGAGCTTGTCTTTACCCTGTACAACTTCCCCTTTAACTCCTCCCACTTCCTACAAACTAAAGGGGTGGCAATGGGCACCCGAATGGGTCTGAGCTATGCTTGCCTCTTCGTAGGATACGTGGAACAGTCCCTTTTCCACTGTTACATTGGCACCGTCCCTCACTTCTTCCTCCGCTACATTGATGATTTGTCTGCCTCGTGCTCCCATGAGGAGCTCAAACAGTTCGTCAACTTTACTAACACCTTTCGTCCCTACCTCAAATTCACCTGGACCATCTCTGATACCTACCTCCCCTTCTTGGACCTCTCCGTTTCCATATCCAGCAACTGCCTCAACACTGATATCAATGTCAACCCACCGACTCCCATAGCTACCTTGACTACACACGCTTTTAACCAGCCTCCTGCAAGAATGCGATCCTTTACTACCAATTCCTCTGCCTGTGCTGCATTTGCTCCCCAGATGGGGCGTTCCACTCCCGGACATCCCAGATGTCCTCCTACTTCAAGGATCACAACTTCCCCCTCTGTTGATCAAAAATGCCCTCAACCACATCTCTTGCATTTCCCACACTTCTGCCCTCAAACCCCCTTCCCCCAACAAAAATAAAGACAGAGTCCTTCTGGTTCTCACATATCACCCCACCAACCTCCGGATTCAGTGCATCAACCACCGACACTTTTGCCACCTACAATACAAACTGCCACCAGAGAGATAGTTTCCTCCCCACCCCTATCTGCCTTTTGTAAGGACCGCTCACTCCGCAACTCCTTCATCCACTCCACACTCCCCACTAACCCCACCACACCTGGCACCTTTCCATGCAACCGCAGGAGGTACTACGCCTGCCCTTACACCCCACCAACCTCACCTCCATCCAAGACCCAAGACAAACTTTTCACATCCAACAGAGATTCACCTGTACATCCTTTAACCTGGTCTACTGTATCCATTGCTCCCGATGTAGTCTCCACTACAGCAGTGAGACCAAGCACACACACAGTGACTGATTCACGGAGCATCTGTGCTCCGTACACTATAATCAACAGCACCTTCTGGTTGCTAACCATTTTAACTCCCCTCCCACAGTGACATGTCCATCCTGGGCCTCCTCCAATGCCACAATTACATCACATGCAAACTGGAGGAGCAGCACCTCATATTCCGCCTCGGGAGCCTACAGCCTGATGGCCTATGTATAGAATTCACCCAGTTTCAAAATCTCCCCACCCCCGAACTTATCCCATGTCCCTCTCATCCCCGCCTCCTTCATCTGACACTACCTGTCCATCTTCTGTCCCCACCTATCAACCCCACCCTTCCCACTGACCAATCCCCACAACCCCCGACCTGCGTCCACCCATCACTATCCCACCTACCTTCCCCCAGCCCTGATTCATTCTATTTAAAAGGATGTCCAAAGCACTTGACATTTCAGGCGGACACTTCCAGTGCCAGTGCTGTGAGAGTTCTGCGCTCTCTGATGAAACCTTAAACCAAGGCCCCACGTGCCCTCTCGGTTGGATGTGAAGGTTGACACAGTCACTGTTGGAAGAGGAGCAGGGTATGAATTTCCCCAGCATTCTGAGATCAATATCGATCCCTCAAGATCCCAACATGATTCGAAACAAGTTTTTCAGAAGATTTGTAGCTCGGGTTGTGGATGAGGTTGTAGACTTGCTCATCGAGCCGGTGTGTTTGATTGCAGATGTTTCGTCATCCTGCTAGGTAACATCGTCAGTGTGCCTCCGGTGAAACGTTGATGTTCTGTCCTGCTTGTTATTTACATGCCTCAGTTTGCTGGGTGGTTGGCATCACTTCCAGTTCTGTTTCTCAGTGATTTGTATATCGGGTCCAGTTCAATATGTTTGTTAATGGAGCTCCAGTTATCCTGACACTGAGGGATCTGAGTAGTCTTGTGGTCATCTCTGATATATCCCTGATGTACGGTAGGGTGTCTGGTCGTATTGTGTCTTCTTGTTGTGATCTGTCGCAGGTAATGGCAGATTGTGCTTTTTGGGTATCCACTCCTTTTAAAAACTCTGTATAAGTGCTCCTGTTCTGGTTTGTGCAATTCGGATTGCTGCAGTGTGTTGTGGCCCGTTTGAATAATGTCCTGATGTATGGGTGTTGGTGTGGTTGCTGGACTAATTATGTATAAGGTCTTAAGTATCTCATAAATACCCCTTTGTGAGGGGTAGATCATGCCTCACAAACCTTATTGAATTATTTGAAGAGGTGGCCAAACAAGTGGATGAAGGTGGAGCAGTGGATGTGGTATACATGGATTTAAGTAAGTCGTTTGATAAGGTTCCCCATGGTAGGCTCATGCAGAAAGTAAGGAGGTGTGGGATAGGAGGAAATGTGGCAGACTGGATTCAGAATTGGCTGACCCTTAGAAAATAAAGGGTGGTAGTGGACGGAAATTATTCAACATGGTGCTCAGTTACGAGTGGTGTGCCACAAGGATCTGTTCTGGGTCTTCTTCTATTTGTGATTTTTGTAAATGATTTGGATGAAGGAGTGGAAGGGTGGATTAGTAAGTTCGCGGATGATACAAAGGTGGGTCGAGTTGTGGATAGTGCAGAGGGCTGTTCCAGGTTACCAAGGGACATTGATAGGATGCAGAGCTGGCCTGAGAAGTGGCAGATGGAGTTTAACCCTGAAAAGTGTGAGGTGATTAATTTTGGAAGGACAAACTTGAAAGCAGAATACAGGGTTAACGGAAAGATTCTTGGCAGTGTGGAGGAGCAGAGGGATCTCGGGGTTCATGTCCACAGTTCCCTGAAAGCTGCCACCCAGATGGATAGAGTTGTTAAGAAGGCGTATGGTGTGTTAGCTTTCATTAACAGAGGGATTGAGTTCAAGAGCCGTGAAGTTATGCTCCAGCTGTACAAAAGCCTGGTTCGGCCACATCTGGAGTATTGTGTCCAGTTCTGGTCGCCTCATTACAGGAAGGAAGTGGAAACGTTAGAAAAGGTGCAGGGGAGATTTACCAGGATGTTGCCTGGAATGGAGGGAAGATCTTACGAGGAAAGGTTGAGAGAGCTAGGGCTTTTCTCTTTAGAATGACGAAGGATGAGAGGTGACTTGATGGAGGTGTACAAAATGATCAGAGGTATGGAAAGATTGGATAGCCAGAGACTTTTTCCCAGGGTGGAGGTAGCTATTACGAGGGGGCATAGTTTTAAAGTGAATGGAGGTAGATATAGGGGAGACGTCAGAGGTAGGTTCTTTACTCAGAGAGTGGTAGGGGCGTGGAATGCATTGCCGGAGAGGGTAGTGAAGTTGGCCTCTTAGGGACATTTAAGCAGCTATTAGATAGGCATATGGATGATAGTATAAGGTAGGGGTGGAGGTTAGATAGACCTTAGGTTCAGGGTAAAAGTTCGACACAACATTGCGGGCTGAAGGGCCTGTACTGTGCTGTACTGTTCTATGTTCTATGTTCTATCTGCATTACATAGGCCAACCTGGAAGAAAACTGGCAATAAAGATACACGAACACCAACTAGCCATCAAGAGACACGGTCAATTCTCACTGGACTCGATACAAATGGACAAAGAAGGACAGGAATTCGACTGGGACAACACATCCATAATAGCACAAGCTGAACAGAGACACACCAAGGAATTCCTGGAATTCTGGCATTCCAACTGGAACTCCGTTAACAAACACATTGAACTGGACCCGATATACAAACCACTGAGAAACAGAACTGGAAGTGATGCCAACCATCCCAGCAAACTGAGGCATATAAATAAAAGTGGGACAGAACACCAAGTTTCACCAAAGGCACACTGATGATGTTACATGGTAGGGTGACAAAACATCTGCAATCAAACACACCAGCTCAGCGAGCAAGTCTACAGCCTCATGACTCAAAATAGTTGACCTGCACGGTTGCCATCACACTGGTGTCTGTGGGATCTTGCCATGCTTCCATTAGGTGCTGTGTGTCCTGCCTGAGCTCATTGCAAAGTCTGTTGGCAAATCGTGAAGTTGTGAAAAATGCTACGAAACTCCAAGGTGAAAGGTTTGAGTTTAGAGTGTTCAAAAACTGCAAACAAACCCCTAGCACTTACTTCCCCACACACTTGAAGATGAAGAATCCAATTAGTCCAACACTCAAAGTGATTCCAGCTCCAAGCAATCCTGCTTTCACCGGAATCTGCACCAGGAAAAATAAGAGCATGAAAGACTCCCTCTGGTCAGCAGGAAAGCTTTATTAGGCAACTTCAAACCTTGGGAGTAATGTGGTGAGTTGGAGTGGAACAGGAACACATTGTGCACAAAGCTGAGAGTATGTTCAACATTCTGAGAGTGAAGGCAATCTGAGTGTGCCTGTATGCTTGTCCATTTGTGTGTCTATGTTTATGTATGGGTCTGTGTGCATTTGTGTGTGTGGGTGACTGTATCTGTGGGTGTGTGTGTGTTTCCTTTGCATCTGTGTGTTTGTGTATGCCTCATTCCATGTATTTCTGTCTGTCTTTCTTCCCATGTACCACGTTGTCAGTGTCAGTGTCACTGCCAGTGTCTCTTAAGTCACACACAACTGTACAATAAAGTTACTAACATAGTCGATGCAAAATGCCTTTATAAATCCAACAGACTCTCATAGTTACCAACATTGACATAGTTACGGACACAATGAAGTATGTGTACACTCACTTTGCACATTGAAGGTTAGGTAGCCCTCCTCTGCTCCATGTTTATTCTCTGCTATACACTGATATTCTCCAGTCTTCCTGTACGTAACGTGAGGGGTGACCAACCACAGCACATTGTTAGAATATGTTCTGTTCATTGTGACATGAAGATGTTTCCACGTCAGGTTAGAAGCTGGGAGGCTCATGACAGAGCAGATTATCACTGCAGAATTCCCCTCAATTATATTGATTGATGAACCTTTAATCACAGCAGGAGAGATAATTGAAAGATTCCGTGGTTCGTCTGAAAATAAGTGACGATCAGTTACCATGCACTGACTATGAAGTACTGGATTGTAATATGTGTGATCAATGTAAACTGTGTCATATAAACACCCTGAAAAGACACCAATGTTGTAGGGCCAGTGTCCTTAGAGTGCCGGGTTGTCAGTGCTGAGCGAGTGCCGCCCTGTTGGAAGGTCAGTGCTGAGGGAGCACCACACTGTTGGTGGGTCAGTGCTGAGCGAGTGCCGCACTGTCGGAAGGTCAGTGCTGCACTCTCAGCGGGTCAGAACTGAGGGAGTGCCGTACTGTCAGAGGATCGGTGCTGAGGGAGTGCTGCACTGTCGGAGGGTCAGTGCAGACGGAGTGCCGCACTGTCAGAGGGTCAGTGCTGAGGGAGCGTCGCACTGTCGGAGGGTCAGTGCTG